TTTCGTTCGGTAAATTACCTAACTCTCCAGAAACTACATCACTGCCTCCGGACTGAAGGTCCGAAGACAGCGATGTAGTTTCTGGAGAGTTAGGTAATTTACCGAACGACCAAAAAGATTTCGGGCAATGAGCAGGTGTCCCAGAAATTATGATAATAGCTGTAATTACAAGCTTGAAATTTAAGCTTGGGCCTGGCCCAACCCATAAATTTCTGGGCTCGGCCTGGCCCATTCCGAATCTTACACATGAGCGTTATTTTGAATAAATTTATTTTTTAGGGGTAACAATTTTCTAAATAGCGCTTATGAGCGTTCTTACACGAAAATACGGTAATTAGTCTGGTATGGTTTTTTAAAATCGGCCTGTAGCATACGCGTAATTTAGGTAATTAGTTAATAAAACTTGGATCAGTTACTCGTTTTAATTTAGCGTTAGTGGAATTCATATACTTAATTTGTTTTATTAAAATTAAAATTTTAACTTGTGAAGGTTAGATCTTGTTTCTATTATTATTAATAATTATGTATTGAAGAGTTCCTAAGAACTGCTAATTTTCAAGAATATATAAAAGACTCGGGCGATTATTTTATTAATTAAAAATATATACCGTATGTACAGCATATATGTTTATATACAAATGGTTTTTGCTTTATAAACTCAAAGTTTAAACAAATTTTTAATACTAAATTACAAAAAAAAATTGTTCTTTAAAAAAAAATTTCTTTGTTTTTTATAAACACATCCAAAATTTTGATATATAATAAATGACTAACTAATTACAAAAAAAATATGCACCAATTTTTAATATAATAAATGATTATAACTAAATTACAAAAAGAAAAAAATATGCAAGTATATATAATTTTCTAAAAAATTTTTTTGGCAATTACATAAAAATCATATAAAGCATAGTTGCTCCTACTACTATTAAACTTAAAGTAATACCACACAAACCACTATTTCTTAAGTTATTAGATCCACTTATTCCTAAAGCATCAATTGAGTCATCCGCTACGGCGCCTGTAACTACTTGTAATAAAACAACAGTGCTTGGTGGGACGTAAGTGGTATATGTAGCTTCACTACCATCAGCTTTTGTGTCGGTAACAACGGTCGAAAAACCTGGAAACACAGTAGTAATTGATGTTGTAAATGTTTTTAGGGTGAATTTTGTTATTGTTGTTTGTTGATTTTGGTTTTTAGGTGTTTGAGTAAACACCGCGGTATCTGGTGGGGCGGTTGTAGTGTAAATTTTTCCTGTAGCACTGTTATTGTAAATCATATGATATAATATTAGCCAATAATATTTAATAGGGAGTAAGGTCATATGATCGTATATGTTTCATAGGACTCGAACTTTGGCCAACATTAATTGTAATGCAGGCCAAGGTTCGAAAAAAAATAAAAAATACGCACGTTGCGCCCGGTGGGTCAGGTGTACAATTAATTTTATTTTTACAAACATCATGAGTTATTGTTGTTCGAGGTGGATCCATAGGTCTAGATTTACTTGCTAAGAAAAATGAAATATTAGAATTAAGATTAATGTTGTCTACAATTTCAATAGAGTTTATCACATAGTAAAACCAAAAGTTGACAGGTTACCTGCTTTAGCAGTGTTTGGTTCTGGCGGTTGTGTTGGAATATTATCACCATTCGCATTTTGAACTGGATTGTTTTGCGTCGGCGTACCTCGAACCGATGGTGGCATATTTTGAACAGGCGCACCTCGTGATGGTGTATTTTGAACAGACGCACCTCGTGTTGGCGTATTTGGAACCGGCGCGCCTGATGTCTTTGGAGCCGATGAACTTTGTATTGGAGTCTTTGGAGTCTTTGCATTTTGTGTTGGAGTCTTTGCACCTTGTGTTGGAGTATTTAGAACTGGCGCACCTTGTGTTGGAGTCTTTGCACCTTGTGTTGGTGTATTTGGAACTGGCGCACCTTGTGTTGGAGTCTTTGCACCTTGTGTTGGTGTATTTAGAACTGGCGCACCTTGTGTTGGTGTGTTTTGAACGGGTAAACTTTGCTTGGGTGTATTTTGTACGGGTGTATTTTGCGCTGGTGTATTTTGCGCTGGTGTATTTTGTACGGGTGTATTTTGCGCTGGTGCAGTTTGCTTGGGTGTATTTTGTACGGGTGTATTTTGCGCTGGTTCAGTTTGCTTGGGTGTATTTTGTACGGGTGTATTTTGTGCTGGTGCAGTTTGCTTGGGTGTATTTTGTACGGGTGTATTTTGTGCTGGTGCA